AGGGTCGAGGTTACCTCATTAAGGGTTAGGGTTACCTCATTAAGGGTTAGGGTTACCTCATTAAGGGTTAGGGTTGCCTCATTGAGGGTTACGGTTACCTTATTAAGGGTTAGGGTTACCTCATTAAGGGTTAGGGTTACCTTATTAAGGCTTAGGGTTACCTCATTGAGGGTTAGGGTTGCCTCATTAAGGATTAGGGTTGCCTCATTAAGGATTAGGGTTACCTCATTAAGGGTTGCCTCATTAAGGGTTAGGGTTACCTCATTAAGGATTGGGGTTACCTCATTAAGGGTTGGGGTTACCTTATTAAGGGTTAGGGTCACCTCATTAAGGGTTACCTCATAAAGGGTTAGGGTTACCTCATTAAGGGTTGGGGTTGCCTCATTAAGGGTTGGGGTTACCTTATTAAGGCTTAAGGGTTACCTCATTAAGTGTCTCTGCAGAGACTGAACCACTTTGGTTTAAAGCTGAGAATCACATCTTTTCCCAAATAATGTCCTTCAACAAGGCTGTTTTTTTTTGCCAGCAGTCCATCATTTCCCTGAGTTTCCCTCCTTTCTTTGTTTCCCGCCAGAAAACTAGCACTAAAGTATCACCCGGACAAGAACCCCGACAACCCGGAAGCTGCGGAGAAGTTCAAGGAGATCAACAACGCCAACTCCATTTTAAACGATGAGAACAAGAGGCGGATTTACGACGAGTACGGCTCCATGGGCCTCTACGTGTCCGAGCAGTTTGGAGAGGAGAGCGTCAAATATTACTTCCTCATGTCGAAATGGTGGTTTAAGGTTTGTATTTCCTTCTGTCCCCTTTTGTGGAGTCAGCAGTTTATCATTTCCTCCTGAAAGATTCCCCCTTCAAATCCAACCCCCATGTGTCTCTAGGACTGACCACATTGTTCTGGTCCGGCCAAAAATGTCAATTAGAGCAAGCGAATACAAACATCCGTACGATGCGCCAGATGTTCAGCAGATGTGCGGCTGCCGTGAAGCTTATGATGCCGGCTTTTTTTTGCTGACACTGTCGAAATGACTTATTGACATAATTATTAAGACTAGAAAACCCAGAGATATGATGATAACTCATGAATCCCTTTTTTAGATGTAAATGCCCCATTAGCGCTGTCCTTGGAGAACCATTCCACCCCCCTTCAGTTTTGGTTTTAGCTCAAGCCTCTCTGTTGACAAGTGTTTTACTTGTCAAGGGGGGATCATGTTTGTAATTAAATATAACTAAGTCTACGTCATCAGTGTTGCCAATGATTTCAGACAGAGGAGCCACCAGTGAAAAAGTGTTTGTAACATGCTCTTGTTGAGTTTGTTTCAGCCTTTATCCAGTCTCATGTAGGAGTTCTGGCCATATCACAGGTTGTTTGTTACAACAGGGACAGTTGGCAAGGTAGAGTAAATACACAAACTTGAAGAGGGGTGGGGGGCTTGCAGGAAAACTGACATTTTCCGGGACTTCTGGTGCCAACCGGACCAGCTGTGCCCAACGCACTGAGTTCCATCTGTAATCTGTCTGAAATGAAATCCGCCGTGTTTGCGGAGAGCGAGATTAAATCCCGGCCGTGCGCCGTCCGGTATCTAAGAGGTGCTAATCCCCGCAGAGCCTGGTGCTGTGCTGCACCGTCTTCACCTGCTGCTGCTGCTGCTGCTGCTGCTGTTTCTGCTGCGGAAAGTGCAAACCGCCCGACGACGACGAGAGCTACCAGTACGTGGACCCCGAGGACCTGGAGGCCCAGATCAAAGCCGAGCAGGACGGAGGTGAGTGGTCAGGCGGCCACGTCCCGCCATGACTTTACTTGTCTCTGCGCGTGGAGGACAGATGTGCGGATACACCCAACATAACTGTGACCTTAAAAGGCTGAACCATAATAACAGTTTTAAGTACTTTTTAAAATCAAATAAGACGAGTTCTCCGAAGAGTTTAACATTGATATATAAGTAACAGCAGATTGAGAACCATGACAATTTAATAAAATGCAGAAAATAATCCATTCCCGTTTGGTATCTTTTTAGTTCTTAAAACTACGTTCTCTTTGCTTCTTTTTTCAGTCCCAAAATACATAAATTAATAGAACTTGAATGCATTAAATCCCATGTTTAAGTTTTTTGTTTTTTTTCAATTGAAGGACTCCTGCTTAACTGGAACTTGTCATAGTTTTACCTCCTAAACTAAAATGTAAAGAACAGAATGAACACCTCTCCGTTTGAGTTGAAAGGGCTGCATTATTTCTGCATTATTGTCTAAGTGGAAACATTAATCTGCAGAATAACTGCTCTTTAAAAATTACAAATGGACAGACTTCCTCCTCCCCTGTGGAAATAATAACAATATAAACAATTTATTAAAAAGCCACTGATTTTACACGTGACATCATCTGAAATGAAACTGTTTTGATGCTATTGTGTTTGATTTTCAGTGCTGGTTTGATGTAAAAAAAGGGTCACGGACGCGTGCTGGTCGTCCACGGTGGCGTTTTCCTTTGGATTTGCCTCATGCAAATGTTGTCGGACACAGTTTAGAGTTTTGCTATGGGTTTGTTAGTGGAGCGGGGGGGAAAGGGCCGAGCAGCAGAGCTCCACACAGGCAGCTCTGAGGGGACACAGATGGCGTTAGATTATCTCATCTGAACCAATATTAGGATGAATGTAAAAAGTTGGTAAGCCGCCCTGGCCTTATTTGACTGGAAGAAAGAGAAACGTGTGGCACACAGCGAGGGAGGGGCTCCGGCTTTAGCCTCAGCCATTTGTAGTTTCTCCCTGGGCAGCCTGGTTGTTGCTGGGAGGTAGAACTCATCTCAAGTCACTGCTCATGAGTGTCCTTCTTTCCTGTTTTGGTCTCAGTGGATCCATACAGTGGTTCATTTAACCTGTTAAAATCACTGAAAATGAGCTGCTTCCTCCTCCATCCCCTCTGCCAGCAGCTGTGTTTCCTCTCTGTGAGGAGCCTCCAGGGAAAGCTCTCCAGATTCTTGAAGGACGTCCCAAAGCTTTTCTCTGGAAGCGGCTGCTGCCTTTGGCTCCGTTCTCTGTCAGATGATCCCACACTGCTTCGGTCATGTGGAGCTCAAGCTCTGGCTCTCAGGATCCGTCCCTCAATCAGAGCTGCTGGGGTTCAGTCCACTTCTGATTCCTCCGGCAGATCTCAGCCTTTCCTCCCTGTTTCCCTCCTTCCTTCATGGCTTCTGGACAGCCCCCCTTCATGGAGAGCATTTCTGATTCAGCCACCAGGAGCTGATCAGCTGGAGGTCCAGATGCAGCTCTCAGCTCCTGTTCAGCTCTCTGCTGGATCTTTTCCTCTTTCTGAAGGACCACACTTTCAGATCTTCTTCATCTGGTTGAGATATTATTTTTTAGGCCCAACTCTTCTTTTTTACTCCACCTCGTTGGGACAACACTACCAATTAAACTGTGTCAAAACATGGTATTGGAGGGACAATTGCCTTCAGTTTAAATTAAAGCAAATTCTTTGCTTGGATGTCTTTATTTTTATGTTTTAGATCAAAACAGAATTGTAGATGGGTGGGGGAAAACAAATGTAGAGGACAAGAAGCAGGCAGAAAGAAAATGTAACGATGTCACCAGTATGATGATCAGTTAACAGCTTCTGGTCAACTGAAGCTTCCTTACATGGAGAATTACCCTCCATATCTCTTTAAACCTCCCACTGCTTAGAAGATAACTCAATATTGTATTATTTTTGCTTCCCATAAAGCAAAGCTGGTGTTAAAATGTCGTTTGATATGCTGAAAGTATCCACTGAAGCTGCAGTGTATTAAGTGCTGCTTTTTACCCACTAACTGCTGAGAGGAAGGGGTTTGGAAAACTCATCAAAAGACTCACTCACAGGTCAGGGTTTTTCTGTTCATCTTCCGATCCAACAGGTAACACAATAATCATAATCCAGCCCACATCTAACTTGGACTCAGACAGCCCAGAGGAGCCGGGTAAGCCCATCCCCCTGCACATGCCTGTGCCTCCAGCTGAGCCCCAGCCCCCGGCCCCGGCCAGCGCCGCGGGGGAGGAGAACCCCGGGGAGACGCTACCCGGGTCCAAATGACTCGTAAGAGCCACCGCGCCTCTCATCTGTGTCCCATTTTCCCGTCGTCCATTCGTGCTGTCCTCGTGTCGGTCATCCTCACTGTTGCATGCCTGCTTCCTTTCTGCCTCGCGCGGCTCACGCAAAGCAAAGCAAAGCAAAGCTCTCCGGCCCTCTCGGCGCTTCCTGCTGCCTCCACCGCCTTCAGGCCGCCGACCAGCGGCCCGTTTGTGTGCACGGCATGAAGTGACCCTCAGTGCGAGAGCCAGATGTTCCCTGAAATGAGGAAATGAACCATCTGAATGATAAAACCCTTTTTTTTCCAAAGCCCGGATATCATCTGCTTTATTTCTCTGTTTTCTTTTGTTTTTACTGTCTGTTTTTCCCTCTCTGCTCTGAATTCAAAGCTGTTTACTGCTGTCATTTTCATTTAGAAATGATTCACTCATCTAGTTTCATCACCAAGGGCATATAAGCATGTTAAGAGCCAATAAACCTGCTCACCCGGTCTAAAATATTGTGTTACATTTAGTCTTTTTGTACGTTGTCTCCCTCCACAGGAAAGTGACCGAGTGAATCAGCCTCAACTAGCAAAAGCAGGACGGTAAGAAACGGCCCTCATTTTCCTATTTGCAGGAATAAACACAGAACAGACGTAAGCCTGAAAGCAGTGTGTATCTTCTGTATTGTAGCTGCATTTCCTGCTGGCCTGTATCTGCCCAAAGGCTTCCTGACCCTTTCCCCGGTTAGATGAGATGGATGGGGATGGTTGAATACCTAAAAACCCAGAAAGTATTCAAAATTCTGTTTTTGTTGCCATCTTTTGCTGTTCAGGTCTGCAAATCCTGCTCAGTGACTAATTCTGCTCAGTCTTTGTCATTTTTCAATGGTTCCTGACTATTGAAGGTTTGTCTCTAGTAGATTAAAGAAACAGAAATCTTCCAGGAAAAAAAAATCTTACTGATTTGACATATTTATCTGTATCGGAAAACGATGGCTGACGTGATCCCTTCGTTCCCTCCTGTGTTTCAGTCATTTTGTGTGTTTGGAACGTCTGTTTTTTTACCTTTTACGTTTCTCCTCTTTCAGCCTTTCAAGCCCCGAACATCCAGCCACATCTGACTGCTGCCAGCAGCCCAGAGGAAAACCAGCCCAAAGTCACCAGCCAGCCCCGCCCCGCCTCTCAGCCCCGACCCACCTCCTCCCGCCAGAGGGACCCCAGAACTCCTGCAGGGTGTGCGCCTAAACACGGAGGCCCCCCTCTGTGGAAATGAGCCCACTGAGGCATTTGTGGAGCATCAGGCCAGCCGTTGTTCCCCCTCTCTTCTTCCACGTGTCGGTTCAGGCCCAAGCTCCGTCCCTAACCACAGAAAGGCGATCCTCCTGATTGGTCAGCTCACCAAAGCAGGACTGCCATCAGCCGGAGCCCCTTTTTTTTTGCATTTCTCCCGCTCCCCTAAAACAAACCCGCGGGGCTTGGTGTTGCGTTCATGACGCGCACGCCGCATCGGACGCCAGCTGTGGGATGGAAAACGCACCTCACGGTCCTGGAACATTGTCATTTCTCCTTTTTTTTCCCTTCCTCGTGGTGTGAGTGATCGGACGTCCTCCCTCAGACCAGCTCCCGATGTCGAGCGCTGTGGTGAAAGAACGAGACTTCTGGCCTTTTTGAAAGAGGAGCTGCAGTCACTCTGGATCTGGAGTGCACTCTAAACCCCCCCCCCCCCCAAAAAAAAAAAGAAAAAATCAGGATGGCACCAACCGGTAGCTGAAGATTTACTGTGACTGGGACTCTCCTCCCGCAACATGCATGCTAGTTTTTTGTTGTGCTCCTCTCTGTAGGCCCAATCGCAGAAAACTGGACAGCCGCTCAGCTTTTGGAGGCCTGAACGAGTCCTGACTGATGCCAAACCCCAAAAGTCTCCCTCACATCGTTGTCGTGCTACTCCACGTGCTGCAATCCCGATTTCTTTAGCCGACCAAAGCCAACAGCTCAATGTAGCCGGCCCCGCCATGGCTGGCTCGGTGCCAGTAGTTAGTGGAGGTGCCATTTGCTCGGTTTCCGATGGTCAAAAAAAGCTTAGCGGGAGACAGGCCTGCTGCCATGTCATTCAGTTTCTTCCTGTTTTCTTCTATCCGACCTGTAGGCTCGTGTCCAGATTCACTAAGGCTGCACCAGCTTTCAGATAAAATTCCTGTTTTTTTTTTTTTCATTGATATTTTTATTGATGTTCTGTTTGCACTTTGAAGGCTCCTGCATGTTTAACAGCTTTAGTGAATCTGGATTCCTGCACCACAAATTCAACCACTAAAGATCTCTGGCTTAATCTGAGGTTCAGACCCCTACCCCCTTCCCCAATCAGACCAACTGGTTTAGATGCAGCCTTTTTCAGGTGTTTGAGTTCGAGAATCCGGCCTCTCTTTCTGATTTAATGCAATTTGAAGCTAAACTACTCGGGTTATTGATTGTTTAACGGTGTCTGGTTATAATGATTATTCAGGAGTGTATTAACCGGGTTGATTTTAACCCTTTGAGCTGAAAGAGGGGAGCAGAAGCTAAGCCGTTTTAAAGGAGAACGTCATCATTTTAGAAAGTTATCTTTCTTCATCTGTTTGCTGTCGGAGGCTCCAGCATGTAAAAGCATAGCAGTGTTTCACTGTCCTTTTTTTTTACCAAAAGGATTCCTTTTAAAGAGGGCCTAGGATCGCTGATTGCATCTTTCTGTCAAACCTTTTTGTAAGCTTAGCTCTATCTGCCAAAGTGTGCAAAAGTGACACAGACAAAAAAAAAAGATTCTCACGGTGCTGAGACGTTTAATTGGATTTAAATGGAAACCTGGAAGGAATCTGTTGCTGCCATATAACTATTAGCTTAACCTGAGGAATAGGAGAAATAATGTTTCCCTCCTCCTGACAGTTTGATTCGTTCCCCTTTGTTCTTTTGTTGCATAAGCCACCGTGTATGTGTAAGAAAGAGCTTAAAGCCTCGTAAACTCGTCTTTTCTCAGAGCTAAAACTCTGAGCAGCATCACGTCGGACCTTTCTGAGAAGCATCCCTTTATTCCACATATCGGCTCGTCTTTCTGGGACCGTCTGCAGACTTGAAATCATCATGTTTTTATCATCGATGGCCAAAACTAAGAAAACGTGTCATCATTTATTTTTTATTTTTTTGGGACTCTCTTAAACTAAATGTGACCAGGCCATTAAGCACTGACAGAAATATTTATTATTTTTTTAAAAACATTTGTAAATAACTCATAAAACATGAGAAATAACTGACTAAATCCAGGTCGGTTATGGGTGTGGTTTGTGACCCGATTGGACGGTGTACATACATTTAACCCTTTTTTTTTATTTATGTCGCATAGCGGGGCAGAAACGAGTGTTTTGGAGGCTGGAGGTGGCAGAGAGTTACTGTGTTTACCGGCGCTGTGGACCCACGCGAACACGTGAGCAGCGTTCAGCTTTACAGGAGAAAAAAAAAAGACAATCTGCCACAAAAAACATGATGGAAACAGTTCATCAGTGTAGATATCTACAGTTTTTATTCTCGTATTGTTTTCTCTTTTTTTTTTTTTTTGGGTGGGGGGGGGCGTAATCCTGTTGTGGGTTCCTGTGGATGACGTGTGTAAATGAGATGTGATGAAAATTCAACCAAATAAAACGAGGGGGATTTTCTAATTTTCTGTCCTTTTGTTTTGTCTTAAATGAAGCACATTGATGATAAAAGATGCCACAAACCACCAGAAAACACAGAGGACATGAGAAATGTGTGCCTTTTTTTCAGAAAAACAAGCTTCAACGTGAATATTTCTGAGCTCCTTTCCCCGCCAACACATCCTTAAACCCTCTGGGACGAGCTTTGTGTCCCTTCTTTGTGTAGTCTTGTTTCACTACCTGGTAAGTCTGAGCACTTTTATATCTCTTTTCAACTCTCAGGCCCCCATTCTGCTGGACAAACTGCTGCTTTGTGTTTTCCTCCCAAGCAGCCAGACTTTTTGCTTTGTTTTCAGATGTTGGTCAAGACTTTAGCACACTTTTATAGTTTAAATTGATACGTCTTAACAGTTAAATCTTTTCCTTCTGCACATTACTTAATTTTGTTGTCAAATTTCCTTAAAAGCAAAATTACATTTGTACTAATGTGGAGAGTGTTGCAAAAGATTTGATAATAAAGCTAACATAAAGAATATAATGGATCAAATTGCTCATATAAAAAGCTCCACATCAGGAAACATCTGTCTCTTTTATAGCTATATATTTATATTAGAATGTGTTTTCAGGATTAAATGCGAACCATGCTATGATGTAATACTAATGCATTACTATTAATGGATGAAATGGTCCTTTCTTGATGTTTGTAACATTTTTCCGGACAGCAGTGAAGCTGAAAACAAAGGAAATCTGACCTGTCCGGCGTAAGACTTTGAGGTGAGCTCTGAGCCATGAATGGCTCTTTGTGTTGGTATGTTTAGCCTACTCTGCAGCAGCCGCCCACTATAAATAGTCCTGTAATCCCATTAGCAGCTTGGTTTACTTAGCCCAATGCATTCTGTTGATTAGCACATACCACGTCCCTTTTGGCGGCCGGCGTGGGTCTCTGGGTCACGGCATGGAGGGGCCTCTCCCCACAAATGATCACTGAGTGGTCTGGGAGTGGAAGCCCTACATGCCAGTGTGATAACACCATGTGATGTCACGGGCTCCGACCAATCAGGGAAGAGCCAGAAGCAGTCCGGCGCTCTCCGGGGTTGGAGGTTACATGCATCATATTTGGTCGGATAAAGTTATTAAAAAGGCTCGTATCTCATTGGTCGAAAAGAAATGTATATTTAAGTTAAGAGTCAGTTTTTTTTTTCAACCTTTTTGGTCACTCTGTGATCTGGATTTGCATCTTTAACCTGAAACTTTTTTAATATGTTTAAAAAAAAAAAAAGGGTCAAATGTCTCCTGATGGCCTCTAATGACACTGAAGTGTGTGTCCTTTTAAAAAGATTAACACAATCTGTCATGATTTGGATTATTTTGCTACTTTAGTCCTTTAAAACCTGGCCCAAGAACAAATAAAAAGCCAGCGGTTTTTCAGCTTTAATTAATTCAATTTAAAAAAGTGTTTTTAGTTGAAAATATAAATGCACAAAATGATAAGAAATCTGGTCAGAAAAAGGTGTAAATACTTTGAAGTCTGTGAGAATATTTCCCAGCCAGTCAGCAGGTGGTGCTCCTGAACCTCCAGAAATGAGCCATTTGTCAATACGACTGAATGAAAAAGGCTTTAAAAAAAGATTAATCTGATCATCCCACCATCATTTTGTTCCATCAGATCAAATCAGGCATACAGGGCAACAATTTCAGCAGCAGATGGGAGTTATTGAGTCACCAAACCTCCACAGACTGATTGAGTTTTACTTAAAAACACATACTTTTGTACAGGGGGAAAATGAAAGAGGAAAATATTTTGATCAATAACAATTTCAATAACTTCACCTCATCAAATCTTTCTTAATTTGCTGAGTGATAAATAAATATTCAGATGCCAAAGTTTGATATTATGCAGAAATGGTAAAAAATAATAATGTTTTTGGCATCATATCTTTTAAGATATCAGGACTGAAAGGATAAAAAATCCACCAAACAAATGAGAAGATACAGAAGTTATAGAAGATGCTTAATATTTTCTTATAACATTAGTTCAGCAACATTTTCTTTTTTAAATGACAACATGTCTTTGTAATATAAAACAGGATGAGAAGAAAAACTATTCAGAAAAAGTTTTCCTTTTAGAAATGAAGATTTCTCTGAGCACACGGGCATCTTCCTGCTGGGTTTGGATCCTTGTGGCTGAGATCAGGCCTAAAGTGGAGTAATCTGCCACGGGCTGTTTAGCTCCTTCTGTAGTCCCTCTATCTCTATCTCACCACTGACTCTGATCAGTGTTTCTCCTCTGGATAGCTTATTGTCATAGTGATGAGAAATGTAATATTGTGTCTACTCTGTAAGTCGCTTTGGATAAAAGCGTCTGCCAAATGCATAAACATAAACAAAACATAAACATACTAACGCGTTAACGACCTGGGCCGTGGCCCCCACGGGGGGGTGTCACACCTCCAGGATCCGCCCGGAGTCCCGTTTCATCCACGTTACCGTCCGGGCAATGGTCCTGTCTGCCGGACACAGTTTGGACAGCAACCCGAGCCAGAACAAAGCGAAAAGCTAAAAATAGGGACATTCGTCAGGGTCCTCCCCGATAGGCAAATGGATGGATGAGCTGAGAGGGAAAACTCTTAGAGCAACAATCCGACCCGGTGGGACGGACTCTGTTCTGGGATTGACTCTGATTCGGAGCCTTTTTTCCGGGCCTTCTCCTTCCTTTGTCAGCCCTTACCAGGAGATGAACTTTGACCTTTGGCCCGGTCTGCCTGGAGCTGTTCTCCAAACCCGTGGTCATCCTGCCCTGCCAGCACAACCTCTGCCGCAGGTGTGCCGCCCACGTCTTCCAGGTCAGAGACGTTTAACCCCCAAGAGGGCCCCCAGCCCCCCCAAAAGGGTCCGGGCTGGACCAGGCCAGTTCTGGGCATTGCCACCCTGCAAACGAATTCAAATTTTATCTTTATATGCGAAAAAACACACACTTCACTGATAGAGGAAGTCCAGGCATTGCCATCCTGCTAATGAAGTCATGTTTTATCTTTATATGCGAAAAACAACACACTTCACTGATAGAGGAAGTCCGGGCATTGCCATCCTGCTAATGAAGCCATGTTTTATCTTTATATGCGAAAAACGACACACTTCACTGATAGAGGAAGTCTCCATCCTGACCTCATCTAGTTCTGATTTGTTCTCAGGAGCCTGAACAAAAGCTCTAATTTCTCTTTTTGATTTATTTTTTTCGGAGTGGTTTCAAAGTTTCGTTTAGGACTTATTTTCAGTCCAATGCTAGTAACAAACTTTGTTTACACCACTTATTGTTAGACTTTGAATTCATGGGTGAAGCACCAAACTCAAGGGATGAGCCAGTGTTGTCTAAATGACTTAAAAAGAACCAGATTAATGTCACACAAAAACACAATTTGCTATCATTAATTTAGTTTAAAACGACACACTTCACTGATAGAGGAAGTCTGGATCCTGACCTCATCCCGTTCTGATTTGTTCTCGGGAGCCTGAACAAAAGCTCTACTTTCTCTTTTTTTATTTATTTTTTTCTGAGTGGTTGCAAAGTTTAATTTAGGACTTATTTTCAGTCCAATGCTTGTAACAAACTTTGTTTAAACCACTTATCGTTGACCTATGAATTCATGGGTAAAGCACCAAACTCAAGGGATGAGCCACTGTTGTCTAAATAACTTAAATAAAACCAGATTACTGTCACAAAAAAACACAACTTGCTATCATTAATTTAGTTTAAAACGACACACTTCACTGATAGAGGAAGTCTCCATCCTGACCTCATCCCGTTCTGATTTGTTCTCAGGAGCCTGAACAAAAGCTCTACTTTCTCTTTTTGATTTTATTTTTAGCCAGTGTTGTCTAAATGACTTAAAAAGAACCAGATTACTGTCACACAAAAACACAATTTACTATCTTTAATTTAGTTTAAAACTGAAAACATCCAAAGATAACACAGTTGGACAGACAGAAAACAGAAGGAAGAGAAGAAAATAAAGAGCTCAAACACAGTTCATATTAGCCTAAGTGGTCTTTTTCCGTTATTGTAATGCACTTTGTTGGTGGTTTTGGGATGAAAAAGCCCATTTTATCCATTTTCCTGTCGACTTCCTGTGAGGGTTAAAAAGCTAAGAGTTCTGAGGTGTGTTTTTCTCCAGTCGTCCAGCTCCGGGCCTCCTCCCCCTGTTCGGCCTGCAGAGGAACCTGCTGGTGGAGAACATCATCGACATCTACAGACAGCAGGAGCACAGCAGGTACCCAGCAGAGAGAGGCCCCACACTCCCAGATACTGGGGGCTGTCCCAAACTGGAGCCAGTATTCTTCCCATCACCTGTTTTTGTTTAGTGTATAATCATGAATTAGTCTTTATTTTTCAGTCACAGACCTCCAAACCATCAAAAAAAACACTTGCATCTCTTCAAATATTTGAAGAAAATCTCTTGTGAACTTTCTCTGACAGATTTACAAACATTCTATCAGAAATTAGGAAAATGTCTGTTTTAGTTTGTGCTGTAAACTAGTTTTAACATTTTCACAAACTAACTAAATCACATTAAAGCTCAGTACCTAAAAACTCTCTAGTTGTAGTTCATTTTGTAGTAATAAGACACGGCCAACAGGGGGTAGTATTACACTCTTTTACCGTCTATTTGCGGGCTGCTGCACAGCCAATGCAACCACAAATTCTGCGTTTTTTTAAAGCTATTTTAAGGGAGGCTGATGCAAATAAGAGGGATGAGAAGATCACATCACAACTACTGTTCACGGCACATTTCTCACCAAAATCTGGTGGCAAAAAAAAAAACCTTTTCTGCACCATCAGATTATTCCAGGAATATTAAACATGTGAGCTGAGTGTGACCAGAGATTCATGTTAGAGACAGAAATGGAAATCGATGCAGCATTTTGGCCACATTTCTCTCTTTATTTACCACCTAATTATGATTCAGAGATGTTAAATGGCCTCCTCTCGTGTTTTGGCAGCTTTTCTTTTTGCTTTCAGGATGCAAGTAGATTTACAGAAGGTTTTTAAATGATTACTCTGGTAATTCAGTGGCCTGCACTCAAGTTTTAATGAACTATGCTTAATGAACTTAATGCTTCAAGAGGTGCTTTGCAACTTTGCAAAATGAAAAAGTGAAATGTTTTAGGAGAAGCCTCTTCGGCGGAACTGCCACAGATTTATGAGCGCATGATATCGATGCCTCTCCCATTGTAAATGTGCCACTTTCCACTCTGAAATAGCAGCTGAATGAGTCACTGGGAGAGGCAGAGAGACGGTGGCATTCATTACTGTCTCCTTTTTAACTTTAATTGTTTGTTAAACATCCTTTCTACTGCAGATACTTTGAGGGTTTTTTTTTTTTTTTAATCGACCGTCTGACTGGGTTTAATGTCTTTTTTTTCTTCTGTTGTGTCCTTTGCTTTGTTTGCTCCGATTATTCATGAGGTTTTTCTTCTGAAAAGTGAGAAACAAGCAGCTATTTCCGGCAAAGGCTCGTCGGCGCTGACGCTGAAATACGTCAGTGAAGTGAACGAAGCGTTCAGCGTTGCCAAGACCTGGCAGCAAAGTGCTGCTTTTTCGTTGAAATGACATAAAAAAATGAGCCAAATTCACTTCAGGTTTTAATTTAAGGGCGACTATTAAAAAGGAGCAGAAATAAGCTTTGAAACACTTTGCTTCTGGACGTCAAATCCGTTACTGTTGTTGTGCGAAAAGGGCTTAAAGGCAGAATCTATGGGTCTGATTCTTTTTAACTGACAGATGTTAAGCAGAAATACAGAATCTGAGTTATCAAACATCTGAGAGTGGAGGTGCAACACGACTCAAAAGAAGGGATCACGGGGTCATTAACACCTCAAAGTTTATCTAGGGTCACATGCGGGTTGTTTACACACTCGGTATTTGAGTGTGTTATTGCAATACAATCCAGGAGGCTCTTACGAGTGACTGATAGGTCCCTCCAAAGGCCATTTAGAGAAGGTTCTTGGTGTAGCCAAAGCCTATCGGCTGTTTCTACTGTAAATAGATTAATAGATCAATGGATAGATGGATAGGAAACATTAATTCAAAGCACCTCTTATGATGTGTAATTGTTCAAATTCTGGTGTTTTTACATGCCGGTAGCACCTGATAAAGGCTTCAAGGAGTTCAAATCAAATGAGTTGAAGAGGAGACGTCCAGGAACTCAAACAAAAAATGGAGAACAAGAAGGAGGAAGTTATAATCTAATCATTCCCTTAATTTTTAGACCACCAAAGGCTAGTTCTCTATCATCTCCTTTGTCTTTGTTTTTTAGCTAAGTTATTTTTCCATGAATGAAGTAAACTGACTGTTTATAAAGCGGTAATAAGCAATGAGAAACATTTATCTTTTACAAAGTGGATCCAGATAGTCTCCAAATGAAAACACAAAGATATTATAGTTCAACCTTTCCATTACTTGTTCATTCATTCTCATATGAAAAGATGCTCCTTTCCTTACTGAAAAAGAAAAGCTTTTGCTGACATGCCGTGTGGGCTTGTGTCCGTCTTTTGGGATTTAAGGTCCGAATTGTTGGAAACGTGAGACCTTGTGCCCCCTGCAGGCTCCTGAACAGGAAGCCAGAGCAGCCGACGTGTGAAGAGCACGGAGAAGAGAAGATCAACATCTACTGCCTGTCCTGCCAGACGCATGTGCAAAGTGTTCGGCCGCCACAGACACTGCCAGGTGGAACTCCTCAGCCGCGTCTACCACTCACAGAAGGTAAGCAGGATGAGTCTTAACTTCCTTATGCATCTCTTGTTGTTTGTGTCACTTTAATAACCCCTTAGTAAAAAAACATGGACTGCACCCATTACCTGTTATCATCTATCTTTATTCTCTTCCTCTTGAAAGTCAGCTCTTTTCTTTGTTTGGGATTAACTTTAAAACTTCCTGAGCTATTCCCACTGGAGGCTTCTACAAAAAGGTCATTCTATTAGCTAACCAAAGCGGAAGAGTCAGCAAATAAGTTTGAACTTGATTCATTGCTTTTCTCTGTCAACGGCTGCAGTCACAATATCTCGTGTTTCATTTTGTTGGAGCTTTGAATGTGAAATCTGCTTTTTCCAATTAAAAAATATGCATGAAAATGGCCACAAAATGCTCTGAGGCATCGTCATTTTGCAGTTTTTCCAAACCTTTTAAAGCCAAAGGTTTAAACTCAAACATGTGACCATAAAGAATTCAGTGGGTTTTTTTTTTTTTGTGGAATCTGCTGTTTCTGAGTTACAGCAAATGCATCACGGCAGCTGAGAGGCTTTTAAAGTCAATTCTGTGCTTCAAATTAACACATTTTCTCTTTGAAATGCTCCACTCACATCTTTTAGCAGCATTCTCTGCTTTGCGCCTCCTTTTTAACCGACATTTTCTGATAAAATCATGGTTCCTGGTGCTGACCAGCTGGGATGAGCTTGTTTGAAAGGTTAAACTGAAACGGAGCTCGTAAAACTTTCAGCTTCTCGGTTTCGCCGTGCGCTTTGAGGTGATTTTAGTGGGAGCCGCTCAGAGTGGGACGCTGACCTTTATCTCCATCTTCTCACATCCAGTGTCCTCCTTTCCTGGTTTCTCTTTAAGAATCAGATAATGCTGTGTGCACGTTGATGAGAAACCCCTGAAACCAGAACGCGTGTCTGTCCACACAAAGGTCAGGCTTCGCTCTGCATGCACGGTCGGAGCCCAAAGTTTCTGCTCTCTTCAAGGTTTCGTCCTGCAAAGGCCTTGACCGGCCGTTTTGTCATGCAGATGGCGGTGGCTCTGGCGTGCTGTCGAGCAGCTGGCTTCGTTTGACATTTCGGCGCCGGCCTCCAGCTCTCACTCAGCCTCTGAGTCACTCATCTGAAATTCAGATGAGTCCCGGGGAAAGTTGTCGATTCTCTGAGCGAAGCCTGACAGCGAAAAGTTTGCTGGTCCGACTCACAGAGCTGTGAAAGCCCCCCCCCCCACTCCCCATCTCATTACTCCTTACTCCTTATAGCAGTCCGTGAAATCCAGAGAGCACCAGAACCAGAGAGACCGAGCTGGAACATCTGGACAGCTTCTAAGGATCTGCTTGAAAACAGGCAAAAACAGCCTGGGTTCCTTTAAAAACATGGTTTAATTCCACTAAATAAGAAACAAGGAGTCAAGGGAATCATCTTGTTTATTGCTTCCTGACTCAGAGAAAATTATACATCAACTAAAAAAACTAAAATACCAACTACAAGAGAGATTTTTTAAAAAGCAACAACCAACACACGGGCCGGTTTATGTACCCTGTGTCATTTTAAAAACACCGAATGTCCAAATTTCACAGAAATGTGAAATTTGGACATACAGTACATCCTTAAAAAAGCCACTTCATTTCTGGCTAATACCACAGCAAGGGGGAGAAGAACGGCCCAAAAGAACCCGTTTTTCTTCCCCCTGCTCTCCAAAAGTTGCTGCTTACTGTGGTTTCTGTGCAGGAAAATGGGCGGAGCCAGAGGGAACATCTGGCCGGCGGCTTTTCCCGGCTGACGGCCGTCCTAGACTAGAGGAAGCAGGAGCTGGTGGATTTTATCACCCGGCAGCAGGACCAACGACTGGGGCGCCTGCGCTCCCTGATTGGTCGCTACGGCAACCGGCTGGAGGCCGCCATCACGCTGGTGGAGTCCACCTTACAGTCTATGGAGGAGCCCCACGTGTGTGTGTTCATACAGGTGTGCAGCAGCAGGATTAAAGGGAGTACTCAGGGAGTTAATTTGCTTTTGGAAGGAAAAGAAAAGAGAGTGATCATTTCCCCTTTATTCAGTTCCACTGGTTCGTTTTTTTGGGCATCAAACGAGTTTCTAAAGGGTCTTTGGGCCTGACTTAACACTGGGATGGTAAATCTCACACTTACTGACCTGCTGGAGCCAAATCAAACAGTAGAGTAACAACATCTAACAAACATCAAAGAGTTTTATTTCAGGTCTAAAACTTTCTTGGAGTTTTCTCACAGTAAAGGAAATAATTTCATTATAAAAAAAAATAAAAAAATGAGAATTGATTAAATTCCTTCGCTACAAATGTAAGCGGCTATAAACAGTATTTTTGATCTTATTTACACAGATACAGACTTGATCCATTTTCCATCATTACCAGGATACAAATGTCTGTTCCAGCCATTTCACTTCTGTAAAATAACTCTTTATAAATGGTCAATTTCTGGTCAAACATGAATAAACTATCAGTTTACCATTTATAAATGGTCTATTTACCGTTAAAAAATGATGGTTATTGTAAAGTGTTACCTAATGAATTAAATGACTTTTCATTTAACAAACAGGATGAAAAGAATGTTCCTCTACACTAAAAAAAAGCATAATTCATACGTAGATTTTTGTCTATAGTTTTTATTCCCTTTAACGTCACATAAAAAATCCTTTTAAACTGAATTCATTTGTAAATGTCCACATTTCTTGACTCATTTCAGGATCTTTTGTCCATTTTACAGTTTAAACAGTGATTCTACAAACTAATGGACTTTGGATTTTTCCAGAAAAACTTTAAAGGAGCTCTGTTTATGCTAACTTTTTCATATTTTACTTAAAGCGGCTTCCTGTTGAGTATTTCTCAGTAAAAAACAAAACAAAATTTTAATCATTTACATAATTTTTCAGGATGATGTTTCATCTATTTGCTCTTTTCCACATAAAAACAAACCCTTCATAAATTTAAATTAGGAGTGTTTTAGTGTTGCTAAATTTAGCCCTTTTGTGTGGATGCAACATGTTTGCGTCACTCCGTCTGCACGGGGGGGAGAGTGTGATGGTTTTTATGGGGAGTCTGCAGCCCAGCTGAATCCTGACCCCCCCCCCCCCCCCCCCCCCCTGCTGTGTCATGGTGGTCCCAGGTTTTGTGATTAACTGTGTCCTCTCTCTCTGTCTCCCCCCACAGAACGCAACGGCCACACTGGAAAAGTAAGTGACCACGCCCTCCGTCTGAGGTTCCTCACCTGGTGGTCAGCTCCCAACGCCATTCCATCAAAACTGATGCTTTCACAACGTTTTACAGGAAATAACTCAAACTCAGACGTGTTTTAAGCTTCTTCAGCAGCAATTTGAATTAACAGATGTAAATTCAGGATCAAATAAGGGAAAATCTCTCTCTTAAGCAAGACTTTATAATAGTTCTTCTATGTGAAATAAATTAAAATTGAATTATGAAGTTCCTGGGAGCGCTGCCTGGTTCTGACATTTGCATGTTGGTGAATTTGAACCACCACAGATGTAGAAAATCTGATTGCTGGAACTGATTTCTGACACAGTTCTGCTTTTCGTTGATGTGCTGCATGACCACCAAAGTTTCCCTTCATCCAAAATGGCGGCTGTCAAGATGGCAGCCAGACAAAAGACAAAAAAAAAAATACACATCGCTTTCATGGGTGTTAGGATGTCTTTTTTCCCCCTTTATTCTGTAATAATAGGAGTCAGGAGTCAGTAGGGGGACTGGTTTATTTTATTAATCCGGAGCTGAATGAAGTCCTGTTCTGTTTTTTTCAGATGAAACTCAAACTCTCTGTTGTTGTTTCTTTCCACTTTAACACAGATAGTTCACATTCTGTATTTCAGAGGTTTACTTTATGCTTGGAAAGTGTTTTTCTACCAATAATTAAGCTGTAGCATGCTTCCTGAGGTGGTTTTCAGATGCTTCTGCCAGAACAGGAGGAATCGGTTCACAAACCTACAGCCGTCTTTGGATCGGCTGAACCCGCCCAGTCAACACCTCCCTTTGGATGAATTACTTAACAGATCAACGGTTGACTGTTAAAAAAACAAAAAATCTGTTCCGCCCCCACCTGGAAACGGCAATTTGGCCTTTTTTTGGATGCCTTAATATCCTAAGCTCAACCCACTTCGAGACTTTAACTCCGCAAACACAAGCTTTACAAACATTTGTTCTAGCATCTCCGTCCATTACAACCATTTTTTGCACACAAATAATTGTTGAAAAGTGAAACGCCGCCTGTCTGTCTTCTCACAGAATGGCGGCGATGGCGAGGAGCTGTGATGAGGAGCGGCTGGAGCTCGACCCCGACGGCTTTAGCCTCCACACGGAGCACGCTGCCGACGTGCTCAGGAGCATGGCATTCTGCTCCTGTGAGTCCAATAACACAACACAACACAACACAACACAACACACACACTGAGGTCAGGCCCTGCACGGGGGAAAAAACGGCGTCAGGAGCCAGTTTGGGGCTCGGTTTACAGGAACTGGGCTGTCAAAGTCCTCATTTATTTAAGATAGAAACAGATTTCTTTTCTTTTGGTCAGATGACCCGTAAACATGAGCAAAATCGAGTCATCACGCTGGCTTACGCGAGCTTTGAATCAAGAGACCATTTAGTTTTAAGCTTTACTCTAACTTGAACTCCATCTTTAAGTTTAAACTGTACAATAAGAGTATAAGTGATAAAAAATGCATCACTTTGGGGAATTTTTAATTCCTTTTCTCAAGAAAAACACCAACAATCCAGATGAGCCTTTCTCTACTTTTCTCTCTGAAGTTATTTGACAGAATTTTTTTTTTTTTAAACAGTTCTTTTAACTGTTTCTTTTGGGGCTGAGCATGATTTTTCAATTTAAAAACAGACTTTAAAGACAGATTATTTGTCATTCTCTATATAGATAATGTTTCCTGTTGGTTTAAATAGTCTCGGGTTTGATCTGAGCTCATGAAAGCAGAACTTTACTCATTGTGAACACATTGGAGGAACATTTTGTTCAGATTTTTGACAGTTTCAGGGCTTAATGGGTGTAACTGTTTGATCTCCTGTTTGTTCTCTGTTTTTTAGACGTGGGACACGAGGAAGAGGAGTCAGAAATGGATTCTGGCCTCAGATATTAAGAGCAGCAGAACAGATGAGATGAGTTCTGACACCTTTGTGACGTTTGAGAGTTAATGTATTGTTTTTTTTTATGTGTAATTGTGAGAGACTTTGCTCTTAACTTCAGCTCAGCACCACACAGTTCGTTGGTTCGTTTCTAACCAGGTGATTATTCACGATCTGAGATAAGGGAAGTATAGAAATAAGGAACAATTAGATACAAACACCAAACACTTAAAAGCTGCTGTCTGTCGACATTTAAATACATTTATGACTGAAGCTAAATTTCCTAACTCATCCTCACACAAAATAACCTGTCAAATAAAAGAATTATTCACCTGATTACAAACTATTTATTACTGCATATATTCTACACAGAGGAGAAAATCCCCGCCCCAAAAAAATCTCCTTTTAAAACATCTATGATCTGTTTGTTCCGACGAGGATGTGAAGGGAATTCAACCCTCTCATGAACATCCTCTGAGCATTTGTATAAAAATATTCATTCTTACCTCCCACACCAGCAGAAGCTGCTGTTTTGTGTGTAAATATATCTTTATGGATCACTCTGGGAATGAATGCAGTGGATTTAGCTCTTCATTTTCAAGCCACTTTTGTGGGAGTGAAATGATTTCTTCCCTCAGGATTAAAGCTTTTTTAAGGCCCCGGTTCATTTAAACATCATGTAGATTGAACAAAAACAAAAAAAATAGTGTGGGGATTAAAATGACGGAGAAGGTTTCAAATAGTTATTTTTAAACGAGGGAAGTTAGGAGGTTCATTCAACCTGTAATCCGGCAAAACAATGAATATACTGCCAATTGTTCTTTTTTTTTCTATTTCAAAAGCCAGTGTGGGAAAATTCTAAACCATGAATCAAATCTGGTGTCCCCAGAATGAATCTTAAGAATTTATCAAACAAACTAGCATCCCGCAGTTATTACAGAAGAATTCAGACGACACAAAGAGGGTAAAAACTAGAAGCGAGACCGGATGTCATCCCCAATGAACAAATCCTTCCTTTTCTTTTAATGTTTATGTGGTTGTAGTGATTAAGATGAATTCCCCTGGATGGGCAGACTCTTAAATGAAGTGGCACACTTTTAAAACCTTTAACAACCCACTTGCAGTTTGATTTGTTAGGTCAACTTGAAATGCGAAAGCGTAACTTACATATTTTTTAAAAAACCTTTTAAAAAATTATGTTTCAAAACAAAAATGAAATAGTTTTGGATGGAAAATACTCATAAACCTCTCAGGTGAAGGTTTGGATGTATTATTCTTTGTTTATGACCCAAAACCTGTTAAATCAATTGAACTATAATAGTAAAAGTGGTAAAACCGTGAGATTTTACGGTTTGAATTGCACATATTTGTGAAAACCTTTGGGGGTACCTTGAGTCTGTCTGCTGATTCACATCTTGCTGTCGTGTGTTTTTGTCCCAGACTTTGACACCGGCATCTGTCAGGGCTGCTCACCGGGTCCAAAATGATTCATCCCAACCTGACAGATGATCCCCAGACTCCGCTGCCCGCCAATGCATCGATTTCTATCAAAAGTATACTTTCAACTTTTAGCACAGATGGCGATATTGATCTGTTTCCCGCTCATCAGCTGAGGTTTGCTGGCCGTTCCAGACACAATTTCATGGCCAAAGTCACCAAACTACCACTGAAACCCATCACTGGATTTAAACAAGTTAAACAGAAAATCCTAAATGGATCAAACAAGCTTGATTTTGTCAGTAAACTCATGTCTGTGGCGTGAGGGTCTGAACGGAAAAAAGAGAGAGGAGCCGGTGATGCTCAAACTGGGAAATGAGACGGAAAGGGGAAGGAGTCTGAAAGATGACACCCAAACGTGTGTCACCGTTTTTGTCACGCGGAACGACTCGCCATGGCGTTTGGAATCGCACAATAAGCCACGCAACACAAACCCGGAGGAAACAGGCCGGGCCTCGTCAGCACACCCACAGAGCGCTGAGTCACGCCAGCCGGCGGCCATTTTGACTCCTTCTTCTTTGCATCTTTTGTTGCTCTCTGTGCCTTTTTGGGTCTCCAAAAACCGCCCTTTTGCAACAAAGTTGGGCGTACAGGCTGAAAGTGGCCAAATGCTCACGGTTTGGAGACCCAGAGGCTGAATGGATGCATTAGAGCGTCTCCAAAGACACTCAAACGCATCACTGAAGAAAAGCAAAGTCACCAAAACAAGCAGAGAGCTGCTGCAAAGTCACCATTCACATCACAAAACCACCAATCAGCTCACAGAGATCAAATCTAACAAGCGTTAGACCCAGAATGACCACGTTAAGAACGAGAAAAAAGAAATGAAATGACACAAAAATGGCCCAAGTAAAAAAAACATATAAAAAACCCAACAAAGAGCTAAAGGAATGAAGAAAGGATGAATCATGTGAAAGATTTGTGCACTGTTGCTCCTGAAAATGGTTTAAAGAATGTGTTAACAACCAGAAATGCATCAGAAATATTTTAAAGTGTTTGGAATCAGCAGAAATACTAAACCAGAGGCTCTTGTTTCATCTTCAGGTTTTTTATTACAAAATATAAATGGCAAAAAAAGCTATTTTCATCTCTCGCTAAAACAAAGACGAATGTGACCAGAAGTGAACATTGACACCGAATATATATTTTTTGTCGTTTTCTTTTCCTTTTCCACAGCATGCTACAGTTGGTACAGTACAGGTGAAGATCCTGCTCAGAGGGAGAGCAGAAGTCTGAGGATGAGCCTTCATGACGTCAAACTGACCCCGAGTTTGATCGAGTAGCAGAGAAACAAGGCCTGGCATGACAGTAAAAATGGATTTGGAAAATTAATAAGTAAATTGACAAGTCGGACACTAAAGAAAAGCTGCAGGATGAGTTCTCTGCAGCTTTGAATTAATTATTATTATTTAGTAATGACTCATGTTTGGGAAAGCTATGGGGATGTCTATCTGGAATAATTATAACAGGAAAGAATTAAAGGCCTCAGGAGGATACAGGCTATCTGTTAAACTCATTTATCATTTTATTATTATTTATTAGTCCTCATTTATGCCAGAAAAGTGCCATTGTGGCTGCCACTGCTTTAACTTTAACGCTATGTGGAAACAAAGGCTCTCCAATCAGATTTAAACTGTAACTAAACCATTTTCAGAGGTCTGATCCACCATTTAAGTCTGCACTCAGGCAGTTTCTGCCAAATTCACACGTTTACTTCACATTTTCAAACTCACTGAGGCACACATGACACAGAACAGTGGATTTGCAGGTCCAGCCGAGTTACGCGTTTCCTTTTGTCGAGACTGGAACAGCGATGAGAGGGTGGGGGGGTGGGGGGGGTCAGTGGAAGGAGATGAAAGGTCTGAGAAGTCCCTTTCGATGCTGTCCAACATTTCTTTTAGATAACACCAACAAAACACCGGTTACTTGCGACTGAGTCGATGCGTAAAAGTGGCGCCGGGCGTGCGTAAAATGGCTCGGAGGAGGAAAAGGAAGGAAGGAAGGCTGGCGCGCAACGGAAAGTCAGCGAGGGGAAGTCTTCAGGGGGGACTCACATCCCCGGAGACTCACTTCTCACTTCCCCACCTCGTCCAGCACCTTGCGGTTGAGCTGGGCCCGCTCGCGCTGGCTCTCCGTGCGCGCCATCTGGATCATGTTCCGCAGCAGGTGGAAGGTCAGGTCGATGGAGAGCGGCGGCTCCTCGCGACGCTTCAGCAGCAGGTCAGCGATCCTCAGATCCTGATCTTCATCCTCATCTTCCTCCTCCTCTTCCTCCGGGGGGAGCAGCCTCCTCCGGAGGAGCCCCGGGAAGCCCCGGTCCTGGAGCTCCAGGTTCCGGTCCGGATGCTGGCCCCGGAGGCTGCCGGGGAAGGGGGGGGGTCTGCCGGCAGCAGGACGGAGGTGTGAGGAGAGGAGGACGCAGGAAAGGAGCAGGAGGAGGGGGAGAGGCTTCATGCTCTGCAGGCAAGAGACGCGTAAAGATCAGAAAACGGCAAATACGCACACACACAAACACACACTGATGGAATTTCACCTGTTTTCAGGTACAAAAGTAAAGGGAAAAAAACTAAAGCCAAATAGGGTTATGGTTAACTTGACAATAAGGAGTCACACAAACACACACTTGTGGAATTTCACCTGTTTTAAGGTAAAAAAAATAAATAAATAAATAAAAAATAACGCCAAACAGTTATGGTTAACTTGACAATCGGGAGTTACACAAACACACACGTATGGAATTTCACCTGTTTTCAGGTTAAACAAAAAAAAAAAAAAAAAAAAGCCAAGCAGAGTTATGGTTAACTTGACAATCAGGAGTCAACTATCAGTAAACAGACACATAAATCTATCCAAACCCCGGTGAGAAAAACGGACAGGGACGTTCACTGAAAACTGCAGAAAAAGTGCCATCCCCAGTCAGTCAGACCCCCCAACTCACGTAAATCTCTCCAGATGCTGCAGCTGAGCTGTGCGTTGGGCTGCTGGGACGTGAGGAGTCCGGGTGGGAGTGAGGAAAGTCCTGTGAGCTGCGCCTGGACCCGTCCGGAGGGTTTTTATGCTTCCGGCCGGCTGCTTTGACGTCAACACCAGCTCTTATAAGCAGCGATGGACCGGGAGCCCAGGGGGCAGATTGCACAGGTTTATTAACCCCCCCCCCCCCCCCCCACCCCCCTCTCCTCATCTGTGGGGGCGCAGATGGGATGTGGTGAGGTACGCAGAGCTCTGGAGAAAAGTGGGGAATGTTCAGTGGTTTGTTTTTTTTGGTCAAACTGGGCTAAAATCACAAGTTTATTATTCCCCTGAATCTGAATGAGTGTGGAGCTGTCCATGGTCCTGAACCGAAATCACTGCTACTCAAACTCTCTCTGGACTTTCCATTAAGTTTCTCACCTTTAATTCTGACCCCAAAAGTCCACAGAAACCCCCCAATCAGCCGACAGAGACCTGATACCACCGTGAAAAACAAAGATTTTATTGTAAATTTATCAGTTCAGTCGGACGGATACAAACAACTGGTTGAAATAAATGATCAGAAGTTACATTTTTTACATTCGTTCAGCGTATTTAGAGAGAAATGCTACATATTGTATAAATCTAAATGGGTGGAGGTCCTAACGGTTCTCTGAATTCACAAAATAGCCCTCCTGAATTTTTCTAATAACATTAAAAAGGAGATTAAATATCTTCAATCTGCTTTATAAAAAAAAAAATCAGGAATTCTCTTGTTTGAAAGTTTTAGAACTTGTTTTCACTACAACTTTTAAGTGTTTAATTCATCCTGAAACTACATTTGAAACACAGCAGCCGCCTCCCGTTAGGAACTGGGCTTTAACTCCTGATCTGATCACCTTGGCTTGATTTGAAAGCAACAGCAGGTCTGAACCAAAAAGTGAATTCCAGCTCTCTGGGGAGGTGTGTGTGTATGTGTGTGTGTGTGTGTGTGTGTGGAGAGGGGGGGGGGCAGCTATTTGGCGGCTTTTCAGCCGATTCGTCAGCCACTTCTCACTTGCTGATTTAGCCTGAGTGTTTGTTATTCCCCGTGCCAGAAACACCAGCCCTCCAAAAAACTAACTTTTCACTTTTGGGCAGAAGTGAGAGAGGTCGAACGCGGAGCTGAGATCAACTCATGTGAAAGTTTATTAGCTTAAACAACAGAGATGCTACAAAAACACATCCACTCCTTTTTTAAAGCAGCAGTTCTTCACACAGTTCTGTGTTGGATCCCGTTTCCATCCACGTCCACTTGATTTGCTTTGGAATAAGCCGACATTTTCGGATGAAGGGTGTTAAAAAAAAAAAAGACAATTACAAATTCTGTAAGGTGTGTTTAAAATGGACAAAAAAAACTAACGTTACAATGAGGAAAAACACACAGAAATGAATGGACCCTGCAAAATGAACAGAGTCCTGCTGCTTCCGGTCTGAATGTTCAGTTACATCCACTTTGTTCTGACCTCCTCCCTCTCCCATGGCAGGATTTTCTCTTAACGTTGGAAACAAGCTGCTAAACGCTCAAAATGGGCTGTTTGGGGAGAAAAAGTGGACGGAGTAAACATTTAAATTAGAGGCTAATTACCAGAAGAGCCTCTTGAATGAATCAGATGAAAAACGTCCTTCAAAAGCCAGCAGGTGTGTGTGTGTAAATGTGTGTTTATTAATGTGTGTGCGTGGGTGTGCGTGTGTTGTCCAAATCCCGTTTTCATAAATAACAAACTTCCGCGGACGAGTGTGAATGTGTCACTGGGAGTAGACGGGCGCTTTTCCCCGACCTTTTGCCTGTGATTCACTCACAGTTTGACAGGTTGGAAATATCAGACGGCTCAAGTAAGCGTGCCCATTTCTCACACACGCACACACACACACACACACACACACACTGGGTCTACAGTCCAAACGGGTGTGAAGTCATCTTCATCATCATCAGCAGCGTCCAGCAGGCTGGACTCGTCACCCCCGGTCACATCTTATTGGCCTTCCAGGTCAGGTAGGAGTTCCAGGCCACGGCCACCACCTGGACCACGGCCAGCCTGCAGAGTAGAGGCCGACATTTTTTCGGGAATCCCACGGGTCACGGGATTCCCGTAGGATTCCTGCAGGATGGGAGTCATCTTTGCTATTAACTCATGCGAGTGGCGGGGGGACGATCGGCTGAAGTTTTTCCGTAAATATCAGGCTTCTAGACAGAGTATGTACTAACAAATTTAGTTTATGAGAGTAGAATGTGACGGTGCTAGCACGACGTACGTCGCTTGTAAGACTAGACACTAATTGAAGAAAAAAAATATATGGGAGCAGTACAGGAGCGGGAGTCAGTTTAAACAGGAGCGGGATGGGAGTGGGAGTCAGTTTCCCAATTCAATCATCACGAGTGGTTAGAGATGTAAAAAAAAAATAATAAAGAGACAAGCCCCCACCTGTGGTGCAGCGGAACAAAGTAGAAGTTGGCGATCTGGACCGGGGGCCACAGCTGAAACACACAGCCACACTCAGACGCTGGAAACAGGACTTCCGGGATCAATACGCGGAAAAGGGAGCGAGTTGGGAAAACTTACGTAGTAATTTGAGATCAGGGCGTCGCTGTAGTCCTGTGGACAGAGGGGGGGGGGGGGGGGGTTAACCTGCTGTTAGCTCACGGGAATGGAGGGAAAACTGCGTAAAGACGAGTCTGTTTTGTTTTGTTTGAGTGTAAAAAGGTAGAAATACGCCATTACGGAGAGAAGTATTTTCCACAGTGTTATGTGAAGAGCCTATCGATGTTTAAAATGATTTTATTATTTCAGTCTGAAAAAAAGAAAATCATTTGAAAGTTGGGTGCCTTTTTGAAATGGGTCCTCCCATTATATCCATGATGTCATAGTTTTAATGTATATGTGTTACTTTGTTCTGTTTTATTTATTGTTTGTACTCCAAACCATTTATATGGTCATGAGCAATTAAATAAAATAAAATAATTTAATTGAATCATGCTCACTCCTGTCATTTTATCCGGTGACACGCTTTGCTTTGGGAGATGTCTAGTGGTTCAGATTCAAGTCCCTGAGGATCATATTTAATTCATAAAACAAGAACAAGCAGCACGCGGGGTGGAAAGGCAGAAAAATCCCTTGAATGCTAAGTTTCTGGATCATATTTCACCTAAAACCTACAAAGAAGTCAAACAGATCCACGTCTGATTTTGTCTGATTTTGAGTCGGCGTTTGTGTCCGTGTGACCTGAAGGTCCTCAGGTAGGTTGGATACGTTGGGGCCAGAATTAGTATGCAGAGCATCAATCGGGAATCTATATTAAGAAAAGGAGGCTGATTTGGGATGTTAATGCCACGGAGCAGAACTGTTGACCTGAGAAGTGGCCGGCTGTCGTCTGCTGAAAGGTCGCCTCTACGCGTCTGACACACGAAAACAACGATCCAATGTTCCAGCTCCTGCTCCCAGACCGAAACGCTGTTCCAATTACGGCCAAACAAGCTCCTCTGTGAGCAGGTGTGTGTGTGTAAATGTGTGTGTGTAAATGTGTGTGTTGTCCAAATCCCGTTTTCATAAATAACTCAGGTGAGCTGACGTCAGGCCTCCGTCTGCCCCCCCGCAGCCCTCTGGGCGGGAGTTTCAGGCCTGGAGAAAGGCGGGAGGAGCTAAATGATGGAAAACGAACAGCCAAACGCTCTTTAAAAAGCACGGAGGAGAGTAAAGGAACTCCTCTGGCTCTTTTGAGATGTTTCAGAAGAGGCTGTGAGCTCATCGTTTGACCAATGGGAGCCTCTGGTTTTGTAAAAATCAATTTTGGTGTCTTCATGTTGGAGGCCTGATGAGGCCCGGCTCCTGTTTAACTCGCTGACTGACAAAGACGTCTATAGACGTCTTTTATGTTTTTCAACGAGAGTGGCTGGGGGACGATCTGCTAAAGCTTGTCCGTAAATATCAGGCTTCTAGACAGAGTATGTAGTAACAAATTGACCCTCTAGGGGGCAGTGCAACTTTTGATGGGAGATGAGCATAGACTGTAGGCAAATAAGAAAAAGGTAACGGTTCGCTATGAGAGAACATGTCGCCGGTGAGACGCAAGTCGAGGAAGAACGGAATAAGGTAGAAACAAATTTTTTTTCCTGATGAAAAAAGAAAGTCTACTCTTTCTTTTGGTGTGTTCGGTGTTTACATAGTCATAGCACAAACTATTCTGTGGCTCTTGAAAAATCAGTCAAAATGCTAAAAAAACTGGCAGTATGGGACTCTCTGTTCTGAAAATGGCTGCCAGTCAATGAGTTAAAGGGTTTGTGTGTGATGGGACAAACAGAAGTTTAAAAAAAGGCCCCGGCTGCTTTGTTTGGCCTCAAACGGGAACACGGAGGAGCTAAAAGTGCTGCTGGGTTGATAGCTTTTCCTCCGCTGTAATGAGCCCGTTCCTCGTGTATTTCCCTCCTTCCACATTTACCAGGTCGGCCTTTCAGGTTTAGCTCCGCTGCTAAATAATTGATGCTGGTCAGCCGAACGCTTCCTCCAGAACAGGAAATAGTTTCTAATAATAAGAGCAGGTCAGACCTGGGCAGCCCGTTTGGTTCTGATGTGAAAACTAAAAGGACTCCGGTCCAAACCGTAAACGTGACACTTTCAGCTCTAAATGTTCAACGGTGTATTTATGAGATGCATATTTCAGATGGAGATCAGATCATTTTTCTGCCTTTCTGAGGTTAGAATGATGCGTTCAGTGGTTTCAGGAGAGCTGAATACCTCTCCTGATGGACCTTTAGGATTATTAAAGAGGTCAAAATGACATGTTGGTTTAGAGGAGACGGCTGAGTTTCAAGATAAAAATAAAAACGTATTAGGAAAAAACTAAACAAATTTGATTCATGATGATTCAAATTTGATGAGCGCCTGAAAACAGTAAAGCTAAACAAAATGGAGCTGGAAATCCAGCTATTTTCACCTCATCCCCCCCACTCAGGGTGGAGACTAACCAGCCAACGCTGACATTTCTGCCTCAGTTTTCCTGTAAATAAACGGGTAATCCCGAAGATTAAAACCGATTGAGCCGGTTAAACAAACGGTTCCGTGTTTTAGTTTAGAAGTTTAGCCCAGAGGGAACCATCCTGCCCCGAAACAGACGCTGGCTGCTCCCCAGCTGAATAAAAACGCAGAAAACAAACAAACAGAACGCAAAGGCCAGAGCCTCTGGGGGCCTCTGGATCCCTGCGTTGTGATTGGCCGGGATGACCTGGCCTGTGTTACTGATTGGACGCCTGGCTCACCCGCTTGAGTTTGGCCACGTTGTCGTCCACCGTCAGGCCGTTCAGAGCCCCGGAGATGCAGAGGAACGCCCCCAAGAAACACGGAGCAAAAGCCAGCTGTGGAGAAAAAAAAAATATATATAAATAAACAGACCAGAGCACTGTTGAGACTTAAGACAAGTTTAAAGCCGAGCGGGTGGGAGCTCCCTGAGCCTGTGTTTGTTTGTTTGTTTGTTTGTTTGTTTACAGGGAAGCCGGCAAGCTTACATACAAATTTAATTCATTCCTGGACCGACTTCCTATGTTAAAATATTTGTACGTTGGTTCAAATATTCCGAGCAGAATACACTGTAATTCCTATAATTTGTTCCAAAAACCTACGAAAACTCCTTAATAAATAATTCAGATAATCACACATAGCAATAACACAAATGCATTTTATAAGAGAGATGTGAAAAGAAAACAATTATAAATAAAATAATCAGTAAAAGGGGACTGAGACGTACCAAAACTTACTCACTACGTGAACTTTAAACTAACTTAGCTTATTTATTTGTATTAATTTTTTAATTGTTTTTTTTTTTCTACGTATGTTGGAAATTTACTTTGGGTGTTGAGTCAAATATTTGATTGAATTTCACTTCGGATGTTCTGCTGTAGTTTAGGAAATCTGTAAACTCCATCTGACAGTCAGTTAAACCCAAAACCAGCCGCTTTGCTTAAAGCCTTTCTGGGAATGTGGGTCATCTCCCCCAGAAGGAGGAGGAAGAAGAGGAAGAGGAGGAGGAAGAGGAAGAGGAGGAGGAGGAAGAGCAGCTCTAAGGGCTCACCTGGTCCACCAGCATTTTCTTCATGGCAGCACTTTTAGTTCCTCCAACCACCAGTTTGTCCAAAACTTTGTACCAGCTGCCGATGACGGGGCCCTTTGTTTTCAGAGAGAAGAAAGAAAGAGAAAGAAGAGCCGTCAGCTTTTGACTCCTCGACCGGCCGGAAACCCCCGAATCCGCTCGCCGGCTCTGGATCCAAACAGTTAAAGAGGAGCGAGGTAGAAAATAACCGGCGGGGAGCAGAACTGGGGAGTAAGGCTCCATCTCGGCCCCGTCTGAGTTTAATCTGCCCCCGATCCCACACAAAGAGACGATTACAGACAGAAATAAACGCCTGACGTCAAAACCAAGTTGTGTTTCTTTGTGCCGCCGTCTCAGGGTGCCAGCGAGGGACAAAAAGCACC